ATATATTCAAATAAATGTTTCTGATATGTCAAGACGTTTTTCTTGAAGATACTTTTTTTTTGTTTCTTCATCACATTTAATTTGTGAAAATTAATGACCAATTGATGATTGTTTACCATGTTTTAGGCATTTTGGAGTAGTTAGATTTGGAAAAGATGTTTGAAGAATACATCACCTGCTGTTCAGCGATGCAATTTATATCTCTCCTATTTTTCTGTGTTCTACCTATAGAATTTGGTTGATTCTCCTTTTTTAATTTTCCTGTTTTGTCAATTTCTTGTTAATAGGTTACGACATATGCTTTGTGGACCTGTATACTGGTTTCTTGATAGTCATAACTTGCGTTCGAGTGTTTAGAACTGTTGAAGAACAACGAGTTTGAAGAATTAAATCTGGTGCCAATATTGGTAAAGTAACGTAACATTGTAATTTAAGTTTTGTGTTGGGAGCCAAAATAAACTGTAGACTTCTGTTCTTAATCTGTAATACATTAGACAATGGTGATTATGGTAAAGACACACACACACACACATTATAGTGAACTAATGCACTTTCTTGATTAAACATACCCATAGAAGTTGTTTAAACTAAAAAATAGTACAACAAAAAAATGTGTGAAACTTGTAACGTGACGACTAGCATTGATAATTGCTGAGACAAGTTCAGAACAATTAGAAACTAACATTCAGATAGTTTTGTGCACCCTCTAATTTACCAAATATTCGTAGTTTCATTGAATCCATACTGAGACAGACGTTAGTACATGTGAATACACAGCTAAATATTCTCCCACTCCCCTATACACTTTCTTGTCATACATGTCTATTGCCCTCGACAATTATATACAGTCGAGTTCAATACTCATGCTCAGTGCCATGGAATCAATTGTAACATCTTACGAGCTCAACACTATGGCTTTAAAGGTCAAACTTTTGATGACAAAATCACGAAATAATATATAACTTCAAATTAGGAGAAACGTGTGCTCAGTTTGATATTATCATCTTATTGAGGGATTAAAAGAAGTACGCTAGTCATACAAGGTTTGTATTAAGCTTCTCTTTATCAATAAAAGTAAATATATAGATGGCTGCAACAAGATGGTTTTGTGAAAACGACAGGATTGAAATAGAAAAAAAAAATTGATCTGTGAGAAAGGAGAAAGATGCAATGCAGTTCTATAGGAGAAAGATGCAATAACAGGTTATGGCCAAAAATGTAATATATTAACTTTGCAGAATTAGTTTACAAAAGAAGAAAGCATGATGCAAGCTAATATGCAAATGCACTTCCTATCATAAACTAATATGCAATTTGCTTGATATTGTAAAATGACATCAGAATGTTCACGAGTTGTGACGTCGACCCCAAACCATAAAAGATACCAAAACAAGGTTGCCCAAGTAACAGTATGAATGAATGACTTTTTTTGGTCATTCAGCTTTTGATGACAGGATATAATCTTCTACATCCAAAACATGAGTTGCAGTATGAAAGGTGCTAGCCAGAGCACAGCTTTTCAAGTGCCATGTTTTCATCCCAACCTGTGGCTTCCAAAGTACTCCTCACTTGAGCTTCTGGAAACCCCATTTCCACAAGCTTTTGTATCTGCGGCATTCAAATTACTCATTCAGTAGCATATTTGGAAAATGCAAGATTTACCCAAGACTAAGTAGCGGGAGGAAATTAAAAACAAAAAGGAAAGCAAAAGCATGTAAGAATTGCACACCTTCTCCTCGGTGCCAAGTGTTTTCGCAAATGTTTCAGTCCAGTAACGAGCTGTGCCAACAAAGGTCTGATGGTCTCTGAGATACTGCAACAAGAAACAGATTGACCATTTGAAACCAAATATTTGTTCGGGAAGAGGGCGTGAGACACAAAACAAGGCCAGCAACATGAAAACTAAGCAAACATACAAGATTTATGATGCGGTAGGGGGAGCAGGAGGGGGATTATTACTGAATATATGAAGCACCTGTTGTGCAACAACTGCATCTTGTGGATCATCAGGTTCAGGAGCAGAGAGTAATGCTTGTATAGAAAGGAGAGCTGTCTTGAGAGTTAGCGCTGGGCTCCACTGGTCTTTCAGGATGTCTAGGCATATTGCTCCACTTTGGCTACTTATATTGGGATGCCTTCAAAGGGAATTCAACACATAAAAGCACTTGAATCATAATTCCACTGGAAGAAGCAGGAACTTTATATCACACATTAGGGGGGGGGGTTACTTCTGATACTTCAATTGAATACCGTATTCAAGGTCTATGTAAAAGTTAGTCGTTTGGAAGGCCAAGATCCTGCTGTAGAAATATCACACCCTTCAAGGATGTCTGCCTTGCACTTTTTTTTAAAATGATATAATTGGTTCCCACAGAAGCTTTACTTTGCTCATGATTTTGGTGGTTGGTGCGTAGATGCGAGGAGTTTGAGAAGTTTGTATCTTTAAGCTCCATTGGAATGTACACAACAAGCTCATTTGCTCTGCTGGTGCGTTTGAGGAAGGGAGCAAAATGGAGGAGTTTCTATGATGGATTAGGTGGCCATTAACACTAGCTTTTAATTGCATATGCTGGGACAAAGTGTATGGCACAGAAAAAAACGTAAGAGATAACTATAAGGTCATGCTCGTGGTTTTCTGAGAAATCTATTTCAGGATAAATCAATATTATTTAAGTAAAAACACGGAACAAATCAAGGCAATGTCAACAATGTGTGCAAGTGGTTCTCTCAGCTCAGCAGATGCCAAAGATTGGCTAAAGTCTTGCTATTATATTCTAGTTCAACAGTGAAAGGATGACACCTATTGGACCTATTTGATGAAATTGAAAAACATGGTTCAGTAGCGTACTCAAGTCCTAGAGGAAGCAATGCGTAAACCAAACATGTTTTCATCATAGCATATCCTACATAAGATTTACTTTTATCTAGATAGGAGGACTTACTGATGTTAACCTTGAACGCTTCAATTATAGGTTCATGACAATAACAATAATGTGAAGTTAGGCTTTCATCAAGAGGAAAAAAGAAATAAGGAGTATGCCAGAGGTAATCAATTTCTGTGGAAGCACATTTAACACTATTTAAGATGAGAGACGCAGGGATACTTTACGGACACTGATGCATAATGATTTTAGAACTCCAGAGAAGTTAATTTCACCAAATAAAGTTGAGTATCTAGCAAATGATTTTAAACTTCAGATTTACTAGAAGGAATATTTTTGTTCTAGAATTCTTTCATTACCCTCATTACCTACCACACACCATCGCTCATTCAAAATTTGTACTGTATTATTCTCAGATATCAGGCGTTTTCATCCTCTGATGTTTGACCACATTTCATGAGCCCGATTAACAAAATCTGAAGTAGAGACATCATGACTTGTCAATATGTTCTATATAAGAAACAGTAGCTGATCAAAATTACAAACATTAATAATCCAATATGTAATCTGCAATTTGTTATTACTTCATATCACAACCTAAGTCAGCAGTTCAACATATGAAATTTCGCACAGGTATTACTCCTGTCACTACAAAGGAGAAGAAAGAATAGAAAGAAATGATAGAGCATGTCTGCTTCTCATACCAAACT